GATGATAAATTTGAGAAAGGATTATTGATTTTATCATGAATTTGTAATATCTGTCAAGCACGCTTGCTCATCACGTGGCGGTAAACATAGTAAACGTAGAGGTATCGAGTGTGACAATGGCTGCTCCGGTTAAAAAACGAGAAATTCAAGAGAATGTCGTTGTAAAACGAAATGATGATGATGAACAAGAATCATCTAGTAACGAGGATGATGAGCAAGAACAAGTGGGAGAATCGGTAAGAAATAAAATATATTTTTTTCTCGTAAAAATAATTTCAATTAAGAACTTAACCTAATTGTGACACGTGCAATATATGATATCATTTTTATGTCGTATTATTCATTGTTAATTATGTATCATAAGCTATATTTATTAATGTCAACATCGTTCCAAATCGTAAATATATATTTTATTAATGTATAAGAGTGAAATTACTCGATGAACTTATAAGATACTTATTAACATATTTGTAACAATATGAATGTCATATTATTTACAAATGAAATTTTGTTGTATTCATAGGGTTTAGAAATCCAAGTAGATTTTGAAGGACGCAATCCACAAGATCCAGATTATCATGGAATTAAAACATTATTGCAACAACTTTTCTTAAAAGCACACATAGATTTGGGTGGATTAACCGATTTGATAGTCTCACAAAATTATATAGGATCTGTGGTAAAACAGTCTGAAGATTTTGAAGGATCCGACGAGGAAGATGTAGAAGATACATTCGACGTTTTTGGTATTACTACAGTAATTAATATATCTGATAGACAGGTAAGTAAACTGTAAAAAAAAAAAAAGAATAATCATTTTTTTTTTTTACAAATTATTTAATGAAAAATTCATTCTTAGAATCTTCCATGTATACAACAATTAAGAGATTTATTGCAAGAATTATCTAGTGAACATGCCACTGATGCAGCTTATGCTATGATAAAGAATGTACTTCAGAACGATTCGCAACCAATTGGTTTACTTATTAACGAAAGGTTCATTAACATACCTGCCCAAATATCTGTACCACTTTTTGAAAACTTAATCTCAGAAATGAAACGTGCTAGCAATAGGCAAATGCCATTTAATTTTTCATATTACATACTTATATGTAAATTATACAAAATGGAGGATAAAAGGAGTGGAACGAAAAAGAAAAATAAAAAGAAGAATAACAGTGAAACTCCAACGATTATATGGAGCAATCCAGAAGAAGAAATATTTGCTGAAAAAGCTTCGATTAGTTTTGAATTTTCCGTTGAAAATGAATCGGATAGTGGTTTATCTGGAACGTGGACTGAAACTGACGATGAAATGAAGCCATACAGACGAGTATTACTATTTGAAGCTTCAACTTTGCAAACTATAATTAATACAATAAAAGGCCAATTATCTTAATCTTGAATTAACGTAAATCGATATATAACGAAACTCGCTTGAATTTCTACAGAAATATTAATATACTTTTCATTGTTAAGGTAACAATAATAATAATAATAATAATAATAATATTAATAATAAGCTTCGAAGAAAACACTTTTTCATACGTTTCTACAGAAAAAAAAGAAAAAAAAAAAAAAGAAAAAAGAAATACATTTAACTTATGTGGTACATTGGAACGTGTAAACGAGCTTTTCATACTGCTTACTGCAAACTTTGAAATACATATATAAACCTTTTTCCTTGATATTAATATCTTCTCATCCTTTACTTTATTTATTGCATTTTTATAAACGTTAACTTCTTATTTAAGACGCGCATCTAACAACAGTATAAAAAAGAAGAACAATACACATTTTTATAATAATATAAATAATACAGCCCTCCTTGGAGAGATATTCTTTATAAACTTAAAAAAACAAACATTTTTTACTTAATTTATTAAACATTTTTTCTTTTCTTTTTTCTTTTTTTTTTTTTTTTCTTTTCTTTTCTTTTCTTTTCTTTTTTTCCCTCTCATTAATTACGTCTTTGTGTCAGTGACTTGAAGATATTGTCTTGTTGGTTTAGCTCTTCTTCTCATCGTTCCCAATATATTGAGCATTTCTGATACAGCTGGTGGTGCAGTTTCTGCTTCCTGTCGTCTTTTTCTTTCCTCCTCTCTTTGTTTCTGTGATAAATATGTCATAAATTATAATTCATAATAATAATCATACGTTTAATATCATGTTATAATTATTACTTACATCCGTCTGCTTCAATGTGAATCGACCGCCTTTTATTTGATTAATAATATCATCGATGACTGAAACAAAAAAAAAACAAAAGATAGTAAAACAAAATATAAGCTTTATCAAAAAGTTATTTGTTTGACTTCCTACCAGGCTGTTGTGTGACAGCTGAAGTTTTCTTGGGAATTCCAAGCATGCATTCCATATCGCTAACTGCATTAGACTCAGAATGCAATTTTTCCTTCGTTAACAATTTTACTGTTGCATTTCCAGTTGACGATAAGGAAGGTAATGGTGGTGGTGGTGGTGGTGGTGGTGGTGGAGGTGGAGGTGGTAGTAACAAAGACGGAATTGGTCTAGCAATTTTTTCTTCCAAATCAATTATTTTTTCTTTCATAGTTCTAATAACATCCTCCAAATTGTCTACTGATCTCTCAGCTCTTTCAGCTCTCTGTTGCATAACATCTAATTCGGATTCAGCGAGTTTCAATTTTTCTTCAACTATCTCAAACTCTACGTTGGATTCCTTTTCCTCTAACTTTTCCTGTAGCATCTGAATCTGTGATGCATGATTCTGTTGTTCCTCCTCCAATAGTCTTTTCAAGGACTCTACTTCTTGAAGGACAGTTAACAACCTTCCGTTTGGATCATCGCCAACTTCGGCCATTAAGAGAGCACTTTGATGAGCCAAAACGTTACGTTCTTTCTGCGCCTAGATCAATAAAAAGTTATTCGTAAGATTATACACAACTATTTTAAAGAAAATAAAGGCAGATATATCAAGGAGAAAAATGTGCCGTTTACCTTGTCAGCTTCCAATTTCATTATTTTAGCTGTTTCTCTCTCACGATCGCATTGAGTCTTTAATGCTTGAACTTCTTTTGCTACCATCTTTGTAACTCTTTCCATATTTTCCTTTTGCATTTTCATCTCGTTTATTTTGTCGTCGGCTACAAATAAATAGAATAATTTTTTCACAATATAGAAAATATTAAATTAATAATAAGATTTATTTATTGTTTGTAAGAATTACGAGATATTATAGAAATTTATGTCAATAATAATAAATATCTCTTTTATAAATTTTATGATAACAAGTAATATCATAAAGTAAGGTAAAAATTTGTTAAAAATTTTTAATGATATAATCTTTGCTCGAAAATGTCATATAATATTCGACTAATTAAAGAAATATTTACTTTTACATAATATTGTTATTCTTTACAAATGAAACATCTTGCGCAAAATAAAATACCTTTTTGTCTAAGTGTTCTTTCCTCTTCCAATTGAGTTGTCAAAAGTGTTATTTGTTCTTGAGCTTCGAATTCTTGCAATCGTGCCGAATTTAAATCAGTCTGGAGTTTAGCTATTTCTTGGCTTAGTTCTATAAAGAAATTTTTTTTTTCATTAATTTTTATGAAAACTATATAATTATAATTGTATTAAAAGAAATTGTATAATTATAATTATATTTACATACACACACACACACACACATATATACACATAACAATAATTTCAAACATTAACTAATTAATAATCTTTACAATTTTAAAAGTAATTATAGTTTTTATAAAAATATTGATTGCGAGTATGTGTATATGTTTATCTTTAACAATATATGTCATATTGTTATATGTTAAATATTTTATATACATTAAATATTTATAATAATATTATTTTCGTTCACTTGATATATGTAATAAATATATATGAAGTAACAATATATTATATATACACATATACAATTATGATAATATTGATTTTTTTTTTTCGTTTTTTTTACCTCTGACCGTTTCTCGAAGTTGATCCAAATCCTCGAAATTAGAATCTACCTCGTCGGTTATATCGAGATCGACCGATCCTCCTGGATGAATTTGTAAATATTTTTGCGCTATAATCTGAGATTTTCGTTTCAATTCACGATTTTGTTTATACCACTGAAAAGAATACATATTAAATTTAATAAATATTTTTTAAGATATAATTAGTTTATATGTATACAAAATATATACTTACTTCTGATGCTTGCTGCATAGCTTTATGCATTGCACCAGTTTCAATGTCATATTGACGTTTTAATTGTTCATATTCTTTACATACTGCTTCGGATACTGAAAAATATAATTTTTATTTCAATCAAAACTTAACTATTTGCTGTAAATAATGATCATTATAAATGTCTCGCTTCGTTTAAATATTTTGAATATATTTTTTCATTGTTTTTTTTTTTTTTTTTTTTTTTTTTTTTGTATGAGAATAATTCTTATATTTCAATTAATTTAATAATTTTCTAATAAATAGTAATAATAATTTTTAGAAGTATTTCGTTTAATACAATAAATATTTTTCTTTTATTCGTGACATTTTTTTTTCTTTTTTTTTTTTTTTTTTTTTTTTTTTGAATTATTAAACATTATCTATATAAACGGTATAAATTAATTATATTTCTTTTCTTTTCTTCTTTTTTTTTTATCAACAATAATAATCAAAATAATCATGATTCTTGTTAAAATATTACCTGTCCTCAATTTATTTAACTTTTCTTCCTTTTCCTGAACCTGCGATTGCAAAGTACCATTTTGCCTTTGCAATTGTTGATACTTTTTTTCCAAATCTGTGTGTTCCTTGTTTGCTGCAACAATCGTTTAATTAGATTTTTTTTTTTTTTTTTTTTTTTTTTTTTTTTTTTTTTTTTTTTTTTTTTTTTTTTTTTTTTTTTTTTTTTTTTTTTTTTTTTTAATACAAAAGAAAGCTTGCACATCAAGTTACAATATTATCGTTACAATATTACAGTTAAACTTTTGATAATTCGTTTTTAATAATTCATTATTTTCTTATTTTAACAAAAAGATATTACATTTACTTTTTGTTATATTTATAATTTATTATATAAATCGTGATTTTTTCACTTGTTAATAAAATGAAAGGGGGAAAAAAAAGAAAAAAAAAAAAATTTTTTATCATGAATATATAAATGCATCATCGTATCGAGCGATGCGCCCGTACGATTTATAGATCCGATCTAGGAAAACGATCGACATGCAACGGTCGGGTATTTATATTTATTAATTTTCAATCCGATCACGTTTTAAAGGCGTGTGTGACTAATAAAACGTCATTGGCTTTGAATCCAAGAGTGCAAGAGTGAATCACAACGGACGATACCACTTTTATATACAATATACACACTGTCGCAGTTTAACCGTGAACTATAATCATGATCAATGCAATGTCGATTGCAAATAAGTTTGTCACTGAGAAAAACCAACATCTAATTGAATTCCGAATGACGTTATTACTCTCTACATGGCCGACCTTAATGACGCTATATTCGGTTCGATTCAATCGATTAAAGAAAATAAATAAATAAAATTGGAAAAAAAAAAAAAAAAAAAAAAAAAAACAAAAAAAAAGGAAAATTATTTTCCTGTTCTTTTTTCTATTTCTTTTATTCTGTCTTTTTTTTTATCGACGCGATAATTGATAAATTTAAACTGAAAAGATTGAATAATCAATTATAAATTAAAATAAATAAACCTGAGAAATATTTAAAAAAAAAAAAAAAAAAAAAATCGAAACAAAAAAATAACGAATTATTATTTCTCTCTCTCTCTCTCTCTCTCTCTCTCTCTCTCTCTCTCTCTCTCTCTCTCTCTCTCTCTCTCTCTCTCTCTCTCTCTCTCTCTCTCTCTCTCTCTCTCTCTCTCTCTCTCTCTCTCTCTCTCTCTCTCTCTCTCTCTCTCTCTCTCTCTCTCTCTCTCTCTCTCTCTCTCTCTTCCTCTTTCTCTCTCGATCTCTCTCTTTGTATTTTTTGATTTCACTAATCTGTCAATTAATAAATCATAAAAACAGGAGTCTACGGATAGTTATTAAAAATAAACAAAATATTCAAAATTGGAAAAGAATAAAAAAATAAAAAACATAAAGAAAACCATTTAAGATTTCTGTTTTTTTGTTTTTCCTTATTATTCTTATAATCTATTAATTAATAAATCCTGAGAATAATTTTAGAATCACTTTACGAAATTTCAAATGGTATGAACGAAAAAAAAAAAAATGAATTATAACCAACCAGTTTCGCCCTTTTGTAATAATAATTTTCTTCTTTTTTCGGACTCCTCATATTTACTTTTCCATTTGTTCTCGAGGAAACAATTGTTGGTATTACTGTTACCATTGCCATTTAATTTCGAAAAGGTATAATCATTTTTTTTAAACGGATTAACCGGATTAGTCTTCTCATCGACATTTCGCATTTCTATACTGGATGTCGATAAATTGTTATGCTTTGATCTTAGCTGTACCGAGGCATCGAGTTTCTCAAAATTAGCTTTTTGAGCGGCCACCGAGGTTGTTCTACCAAGTTTTTCGAAAGAACCTCTTCTTATTGGTGAACATCGTTGTTCTTGTGGTTTTGCTTGAATGTTCGTTATCCTCGGTACAGGAATGTGAGAATGAATTACGTTCGTTGTTGCTGCTGCTGTTGTCGTCCTCGGAGGTTCCGTGCTAAGAACTATGTTCAATTCTGTCTTGTTCATGATCGCTACTTTTTCCCAACAACAACAAAAAAAAAAAAAGAAGAAAACGAAAAAAATTAAATTAAATAAAGTTAAATAAAATTAATTCAAATATATTTGAACTAAATTTAATATTACGCTTTTATTTGATTTTTTTTTTTCTTATTTTATTATTTAATACACTAAAGAAATTAGATCGACAAGATTTTTATGATTACTTTATAAAAAATATATCTACGTATACAATGCTTACACAAAAATGGCGGACTATATTATATGTACGTATACAGTGCATTGACAATAAAATTTATTTTATTGTTTGACACATGCAAAAAAGTTAATAAATTATTTCGTCATTTATTTATCATGAAAATGTAACAGTGAAATTGTAAATATGACTTAAGTCATAACATTTTTAACGCTATCATTTTGAAAGATATATCAAAACAAAATGAAAACGATTAAAGTCACTTTGACCTAATATCATTAGAATAATATAAAATTAAAATGCATTTTAATTTTTTTTTTTTAATTAAAATAAGAGAAAGTGAATTAATAAATTATTATGATTACTTATATTTATCCATATGACAGATTATACACACATATGTCAATTAATTCATTAATTCGATACAAATATTATTTTCATTCGTATATTTGTCTATAATTATAATTTGAAATATATGAAAATAAAACAAATGATTAGAAATATATCACTATTATGATCTTTAGAACAGATGAAAAATGTCAATAACGATAAAAATTTAACGCGAAAGAAGAAAATGAAGAGGATTTCCCAAATTTATCCCCACCCTCCCACCTCCAAAAAAAACAAGAGAAAATATAAGAAAAAAAAATTGAAAATCGTCCTATAAAATATATATATCGAATTATATACAATAATGAATTTAGATTAACGATTTAGATATAGGGATAATGGAGTTTGTCATACTCGTAATATCGGGGGTTCAAGTAAAACTCAAAGTGCATGACCGCTAAAGTGTTAATAACATTTGTGTTTTCTAAAAATATACATACATATATGTATGCGTATTGTATATGTGTATACATATCAAGCGCACCCCCGTGTTTCAGCCAAGTTGAAAATAGCAGCACTGTCAAAAGATTCTCGTGACTAATCTCGATTCTACAACCGCTAACACATCGAGATAAGAAAGACTACTTTTCCTTATAGATAAAACATTTTTATAAATAAATCTAATCAATAAGAATGATGTAACGCGCAATTGTGGTCACGGATACCTTCTTCATTTTATTTTTTCTTCTTTTTTATTATTTTTTTGTTTTTTTTTTCATTCTTACAATTTTCTAAACCAAACGATAAAAAATCTAATTTGAAAAGAAAAAAAACAAAAAAAAAAAAAAAAAAAAAAAATCCTATCGGTACATATTTAAGTACGTATGTATGTACGTACTTTTTTAGATAAAAAATTTAATTTAATTTAATTTAAAAAAAAAAAAAAAAAAAAAAAAAAAAAAACAAATGAAAATAAAGAGATTGTTATATAAAATCTTTTATAAGAAATTTCGTCGATATATAGACTTGTGTGTGCACAGTGCACGCGTACGAGCGAACGATCGAGCGAGCGAGCATGTTGTGTGTGTTTAGGAAGAGAAGCCATGTTTATTTTGAAGAAAAAAAATTGAACAAAAAAAAAAAAGAAACAAAAAAAAATTCAATTCTAACCTAAAACTTTGAAAAATATACAAAGTTAGCACGTGTCATCGGGCTACGTGGGAGTCAAAATGATAATCATCATCATCTCCCACAGACCTTTTAACGTTAATTCATTGGAATTTATGCGTCACTATTCTCCATTATATATATATATATATATATATATATATATATATATATATATATATATATATATATTCCGTTCATTATAACGGAACAGAAGAGACGTCATTCGGGAAACATCGACGTCTCGAGTACTCGTTAACGTTTAAGGGCTTAACCTATAAGATTCAGCGCCATTGATAATAATGATAATAATGAATAACGATAATGATAATGATAATGATAATGATAATAATAATAATCTTACGACTAATGACTCGGTTTTCCTTTTCATTTCATATCATAATTACTTTCCAAATCTAACCTAAAATATTCCGATGTGAAAAATATTCAACGGAGATAAGAGAGTAGTAATTTTAAGAAAATGACGTCTTCGAAGTGACAGTTTTACAAAGCTTACTAAGTTGGTAATTATCTTGAAACAATAGGTCTTGCTTCCTACACGTTCGTAGCTTTTTCAATCTGCATATGTATGTACATATGTGTTCGTATGTTCATACATATGTTCATATATATATATATATACATATAAAACATGTGTAAGATGAGTCATAAAAGTCTTCGGAATTTTTATGATTCTAGAGAAATCTGTGTTGATAAAAAAAAGAAGGTTTACAAAAAAAAAAAGAAAAAGATAAAAGTTAAGATTTTTATGTCTATCGCTGTCAAATCATACTTCGTCATTCTCTTTCGTTCATAAATTTACCCTTGTCTTTATACTATAATGATCGATCGTCCTACTTTACTTTTTTTTTTTTTTTTTTTTTTATTCTAGAACTATGGCCGTGCATTTAAAAACTAGTATTATAAATACATACGTACATACGAACATAGAAAAAAAAAATTTCTAATCGATTTAACTCGAATTTTTTTTCCTTTTTTTTGTAGCCCATAATTTTACTCCTACAATTTCATTAATATTATAAAATCATAGTTAAACGATGCGTGTTCTCGTTTATATAGATGAAGATAAAATCTACGTCGTATTGGCGCTTAAAGCCAAGAATCGACTTCCCCTTCACTTTCTCTCTTTTGCGTTATTAAACGACTAAAGATCATAAAGATCGATCGGCAGAACATCTAAAAGATCGGCATATATCGTTAAATTCCGCCATTTGTCGTCGGAATTTACCGAACTTCGACCGAACACGTACGAAATTTAACGATTTATTCAAATACATTTTCAAACGATCTTTTCATGATTTTTAATAGATAGACAAAGAATTAGAAATGGATATATAAGGTTATGTACTATATTGATTTTTTCGATAACTAAACTTATTGTTAGTTATAGTATAATGTTAACACTATATATATATATATATATATATATATATATATATAGTTAATGTAGTTATTTATAGTTACAAATAATTACTATTTATATACACTATATTTTATATATTATATTATTGCTATATATTTAGTTAACTGCAATTATGGTTAAATAAACATAGTTATGATAATGTATTAACTATATACATATATATTATGTTATATAGTTGCTACTATGTTATGAAATTGCTACATTTTATATATTCAATTAATTATAGTTACAGTTAACTTAAACTCAGTTATCGAAAAAAATAAAAAATATGTAATTAAAAAGAAATAGAAACGAAAAAATAATGAAAAAAACAAGGAAACAAATTGCTTCATTATCCACAAAAAAAGAAAAAAATCCGAATTTATCACAATGGCTTGAAAAAAAGAATAAAATTAAATTGTGCCAACAATGAAAGCATTGTAATATAATAAAATGCGTTTTCACTCGCAGATGTTTACACTCACGATCGTCTGACGCATCGCTTCTTCTGCAAAATAAAAAAAAAGTTAAAAAAAAAAATCTTGAACTCTCGATCTCGTTGAGGTGGAAAACAAAACAAAAAGAAAAAAGAACAATCACACACGAATAAATTTCTCTTTTGTATTCTATACGATGGCGCGCACCAATAAAAAAGACGAGAAAAGAAAAAAAAAAAGCAGAAACAAAAGTAAAATAAAATAAAATAAAATAAAATAAAATAAAAAACAAGAAATTGTCACAACGAAGTAAACTTATGGCAAAAGTAGAAGAAAAAAATAAAAATTAAAAATCACAAGCAACAGTCTTTTTTCTCTCTCTCTCTCTCTCTCTCTCTCTCTCTCTCTCTCTCTCTCTCTCTCTCTCTCTCTTCGAGGAGTAACAAAGAATCGCGTGCGTTTCGAGCGACGTTCAAGCTCGTACTGTGTGTTCCCTGTTAATTTCACATTGTCCGAGGGCGTTCCAGGCGACGACGACGACGACGACAACGACGACGACAACGACAACGTTGACAACGTTGACGACGATGACGATGACGACGTCGAGAATGCGTTCCTTTAAATGAATGCTACCGAGTCTTTCTTTCTTTCTTTCTCTCTTTCTTTCTCTCTTACTCTCATTCTTTCTCTCTCTCTCTCTCTCTCTCTCTCTCTTTCTTTTACTCTCGCTCTCACTTGTTATCTTATCTCTTTCTCTTTCTCTCTCTCTTTCTCTCTCTCTTTCTCTCTGTCTTCTATATCTTTCGTTCTTGCTCTCACTCACTCTCGTGTACGTGTTTAAAGCGTACGCACGTGCGACTGACTTCGCGCCGAAGGTTTTTCCTTCAGAGAATGTGCAACGTACACACTGAGAAGTAACCTTCCAGGCGTATTGTTGCTTAATCAAGCTGTGCTTTGGATACACTCAATTACCACACGGTTTTAATGTTACGAGTGTGGACTATGATGTGTTTATGTATTCCAAAAAAAGAAAAAAGAAAAGAAAAGAAAGAGAAAGAAAGATAGAGAGACAGAAAGAGAGAAAGAGAGAAAAAAGGAACGAGAATATTTTCTCTTAATAGGGAGAATAAATTTACTTTTTTTTTTTTTTTACTTTTTCTCTTTTCGAAACTTTTTTTTCAGGAAGATGTTTTTGTTTTTATTTTTTTCTTTTTACATTTTTATAATAGAATAAATAATAATTAAGTATACGGAAATAAGAAATTGTTTGTTAGAAAGAACATCATATTGGATGGTTTTTTGATATTTTTCCACGTTTAAATTTAATGAAGTTAAAAATATAATGAGTTTTTTGTTTTTTTTTCTTTTCTTTTTTCTACATCATTAAAAGATCGTTAAAAGAACGGTGAGGATCATTCGACTTCTGTTTAAAAGTGCTGAGAAAGGAATAACGTTCTTGAAAATGTTTCTCGTTTCCAAGGAGTATGATAAGTAAACAACGCATGAGTTTACCTCGGCGGTCAACAGTCTGTAACACACTTGCCGTCTTTCGAGAATTTATATATATATACACATGTATGTACATATATGTATGTATACACAAGTGCAATTTCGACATTTTTTCGTTTTAATCCAACGAAAGAATTTTATTTTACATATATAAATTAGCTGTATATTCAGGTAACATTCTTTTATAAAAAGAAAAGAAAAAAAAAATAAAAAGAAAAGAAAAAAAAAGAAGAGGATAATCGTACAATGTATTTTTTTGTAACTAAGGTTATACCAATAAAACGTCGAAATTAAGAAGTATTCTTTTTAAATATAAAAAATCATATTGCAAATTAATATACGATTAAAATCATCAAAGACAACAATAATAATAATATTAATAATAATAATAATAATAATAAATAAATAAATAAATAAATAAAATGAAATAACGTATACGTATTACTCTTGTCTAATCAATGAAAATTAAAACGAAAAGTTTAATGATCCGACGACCTCCTAACAGATCCGTAGATCTCTAAATTACGTTTGAATGTGTGTTTACATGTATATATATATATATATATATATATATATATATATATACATGTAAACACACATTCATATATATATATAAATATATATATATATATATATATATATATATATATATTTATATTACTGTATGTAACATATATACACTGTATATTATACAATGAGAAATATAAAAGTCAATGAACTAAGGATATAGAAAGAATAACAATTCTAAGAAATGATCACGCACACTATGTTTACAATACATATTATTTGAATTGAACGTACAAGAGAGAACATGATAGAACGATAGAAAATAATTCATAATATCTAATAAAATAGATTAAGAATCATACGATGATAAATTCCAAATATATGTACATAAGCACGAATGTTAAGTATTATTTTATGAAAATAGACTGATAGAAGATATAAACGACATATGTTGTAATACACGTCGTCAACCTACCAATCGTTGTCCGTTTAAATATCTCTCTGTCGTATGTATATCTATGTGTATATGTGTGTGCATGTGTACGATTCATATAATTTTCACACGTATAAAGTCGCAACTATGAGGATTCTCCTATCAGCCGTAGTAGTGAAACGATGTGTAAGGTGCAAAGTGCTCAGAATCTTTTGTGCATAGTGATATTGTTTTTCTTACTCTTTTTTCTTTTCTGTTTTTTTTTTCTTTTTTTTTTATTTCCTTTTCTCTAGTATACGCATTGAAACTTCATATATATATATATATATATATATATATATATATATATGTGTGTGTTACTGTACGATTTTCTAACCTATGTTAAATTTTTCTTATTCTAAGAGATTCTATTTCTTTATATATCGAATATAGGTATTCGTATTTATATAAATAATAAATATACAATATACGAATATTGTATATTTGTATACAATATTGTATACGAATATATTTAATAAGTATTAATTTATAAGCCAATAATTTATACTTTAATCTATGTTCAAAGGCTATTACGATACTTTAATAATTTATACCTTAATATCTGTAATTTTTTAAAATGGATTAAATAATATAACTATTAAATAATTACATTAGCTTAGACGATTTAGATGTAATTAGAAAATTGCATTTATCTAATTTTAAATCATTTAAAATAATATAATAATAGAGAACATTGATATTAATGAAATTTATTTCGAATTATAGGTTATAATAAGTGTTAATATATATTGTAATTTATTTTGAACAGAGAATGGATATCAATAAGATGTTAATGGAATTAATATAAGTTCAGGCTTACATTAATATTTTAGAATATTTAAATATATTTTATTTATTGTAGATATTAAACAATTATCATTAGGACATTGGAATAATTATAATAAATTATAATTATTCAGTTATAACAGTTACTATGGTAACTCTTAATATTATTACAAAGTTTAAAGGTATATAAATATAATATAAAAATAGGACGACTAAAAAAATCTTTTACAGTAAATCAAACTGAAAAAGACAATCTATACTACTGTATTAGATACAAATTAAAGTAAATAGAAATTCCTATTCATTCCTTTTGTATATGATGGCTCAACGTTACTTGAGTATTAAATTTAAAGAGAAATAAGGAGGGAAGTACCTAAAAATCAATGTTAATTAATTTTTCATTTCTTTCTTTGCTTGATAGAAAATCATATTACTATGCTTTCAATGTTGGTAGAAGTTGAACGATTATAATTCATTAAAAATTCATCTGGTCTCTCATGTATAATAATTCAAGATCACATGAGATCACATTTAAAGAGATAGAAAGAGAAAAGGATATTAAAATCAATGTCACTTAATTTTTGAAACTCTTTGCCCAATAGAAAATCATCCTACTATTATTCTTTCATTCGATAGAAGTCGAACAACTGTAATTCATTAAAAATTCATTCTGACCCTAATGTATGATGGTTCAAGGTTACTCCAGATCACTTCTAAAGAAGGAGGAAGAGGAGAGAAAAGGATGTAAAGATCAAAGTCTATATGTATTCGACACTTGAGTCATAAAGTTCTGAATAATCACCAAGCAATTCTTTGTCTACTTTGCTTTACCACGAAAGAGTGCTGACTCTATCGCGGTGTTTAAATTCGTTCGGATTTAATAGGAATCAGTTTCGATTAAGCACTCTTCCTTTCTACGAATAGATTCTTACCCTCTGTCTATTTTCGTTTTAAATTTATGCTTCTTCTTTTAACTGATGATACGAATCCATTTTAACTTTCGCGGTCAAATTTTTTTATGAATGAAAAAATTTTAATTTAACCTATTTCCTGCCATTCGTGTAAATATTAATGTATTTTACTTTATTATCAGATTTTCGTCAGTATTACAATAACGCACGTCTTTATCTGATCGAATCTTTGCAATCGTATAATAAACATTTTTTTGATCTTGTTGAATTTCATTCTTTTTTTTTTTGTTCAATTTCCTGTCGAAGTCAGGAGATCAAAGATATATGAAATGATATTAAGATAATTATGATATAAAAAAAGAAAAAAAAATTAAAGAAAATATATATAAAATTATTTGATTCGTTAGGTCGTAAAATTCGTGATAAAAAGAAGTTTGACCTCGACAGAAGCTTTCTCGTTCTTGTGCATTTTTCCATTCGTACGCAGATTATGTGCCATCATTATTAAGTCGCTTATTGTCTCGAGTTATTCCCCTCTGTCGATCATAACTATGTTGAATATGATGAGATGACTCATGCTCATTAATTGTCTAACGGGTGTTCCGGCGAATCATGGAAATTGATGCATAATTTTAACAACTACGCAGCTGCTCGATCGAGAATTATATATGTATATTTAACAATATTAAAATTTTTAGGTTATAAAACAAGAGAAAGATAATTTAATTAAATTTTTTTCTGTCACTCGAATGTTTATTATAATTGAATAAATGATAACATAAGTTATCATTAAGATAATTATACGATCGATTTATAATAAAAAAAGAAAACAATTATTTTTCATATGATTTGCCAAATTTGTCATTTCAAAATGGCGCTATTTTGAGATATCCTATTCGTTGGTAGAACTGCTTGTCAAAGTGTCCTATTAAGTTGAAAGATCTAGTGATTTTTTTTACTATCCTACAAAGGGAGATACGCAAATAATAATCTCTGCTTGTAATTAATGCAATTATATTTTTAACGGATAATATTAGAATGTGTTATCTCACGATAAGAAAGAACAGAATAATTCAGTATGAATAGAACATCGTGTTGTTAGTGTCGATTTTGTAAATATTCGAAACGAAATACCGGTTCATTATTTTGCAAATAATTGAACGGATTTTTGGGCGATAAAAAATAAATTATTGTGATTGAATCTTAATGCTGCTCCGTTTTACTATTAATTGACATGACACGGCTAAGAGGCCGAGCTTCTCTCATGATAATCGTAATGATTACTTTTACATT